GTCAGTCTCCAGATCACAATCCAATTGAGAACCTTTGGGGACACCTAAAAAGACTAATTTCCAAGACTACCTGCTTCAATTACACCCAATTATTGGATCATACTCAGGAGGAATGAAGCACAATTCCCGTGGAAAGGTGTAGAAAGTTAATGCCCTCTATGCCCTCAAGGATCAACAAAATCTTTGCGAATAAAAGCGGGCATACGGGGTATTATCCACATTAATCGGAATATAACATAAATATTTCACAATATTTCCGAAAATTTAATTTTTTTTTTTTAATTTGTTAGGCACACCTATTAATGTGGCCAGCAAAATTTTGAGTATTTTGTGATATTTGCCAAAATTATGTCAAACGTTATTATTTTTTAAACTTTTTTTTGCTTTTATTATTCTAAGATATGTCTATTTTTGAATGCCAGTTGAATTTTTAAAATATATGAAAAAATATAGACGTTATCACCATTTAAAAACAAAAAATATTTCACACCTATTAATTTGACCATATGTGTATATATATAATAATATACATAATAATACCTTTAAATTTAATATGCTTGTGTGCTAGATTATTTTTAAATATTTTCATTCATTTGTTGTCGTTATTAATTAGTTGCGTTTACTTACTCTTCAGTATAATACTTGTATGTTAATTTGTTTTATGTAAATTTAACTATATAGTTTTATATGCATTTTACATTACATTTAAATAGCGCCAAATAATATTCCATTTGCTACAACTGTTCTTTTGCATGTTGTCGGGGCTACCATTAATTGTTTATAAAATTATTGTTGTGTGTAATTAGTTTTATGCTTTGTTTGTTTGGTTTTTGTTTTTGTTTTTATTAGCCCTTCGACTTTGTATATATGACAATAAATATAGGTAAAATATGTATACGTATAAAAATCATTTATGCGCCATTATCTCCGTACTCGTCCTCATTTATTAATGCCACTTGTACACTACGCTAATAGCACATTTTGAAAATTCAATTAAATTGCTAATTATTTTATATTTATTTATTTGTTTATTATAATTAATGTTTTGCCGTTGCTGTTGCCCTTAAAACTATTTGTTAAATATGGTTTACGTATATATTTTATATATGTTTGTTACTAAATATTTATTAATATTATTATTTTAATTATTATTTTTTAAATGCTTGTAAATTATGTTATTCCGCTTGTTTACTCTTCAATTGGTTTCCTGATATTTGACTTGCGTGTTTTTTTTTTTTTCAATTTATTATCGAACCGATGCCGTTCGCTGTTTCATTTAAAACTGTCAGATTTCCCAATGAAACTGCGTAACGGTATGGCCATACATACATACATACATGTATGCTATATGTATGCACAATTATACATATAATTATACAATATATATGTGTTGTATATGCTGCTAATGCTATGCTAATTATGTATGTATATAATATATATAAAATTGTTGTTATTTCGCTGAGGTGGAAAATTCTTTAATTAATAAGGTTACTTGTTGTTGGTGTTGTTGTTGTTTTTGTTGTTGTTGTTATCCTGCTGCCTGATTATTGCTATTGCGAATGTTGCGCCACATCAGTTGCGTTCGTTTCGTTATTATTTTAGAATATAGTAAAGTATCGTCTTGTTTATTTTGAGCAAGGCGGATGCAGACCCGCCCTGTTTTCATTTAAAAAACTTGTATTTATATGTATATTTAATATATATTGTTGTAAATGTTTTTGCTAAGCGCACTGAAAATTAATTATTAAATGCAACAACAAAATATTCAATGTGCATCTGTCCCGTGATTTGTATTTGAAGCTAAATTTCATTTGAAGCTTTCACTGCAGTTTGACTATTTAATTATTGGTAATTGCATATATTTCATTTGTAATACGATTTTGGAAGCGACGCTGACGATTTGCGAACACGAACGGATCGAATTTTCTGAATTTGTTGTTGGTCCCAAAATGAAAATTTTGAACTGAAATCAACTGAACTGAAACAAAAAAGTCCATAGAGTAGTTTGTAATTAGTTTAAAAATTTATTTAAAAATCATAAAAAACACACAGAAATCCAATGTAAAGGACAAAACACGCAACTTAAAACGAACACAAATAAATCTATTAAACAATACGAAATCAGATAAAATTTGTTTAGATCTAATAATCATAATCGTAATAATTATAAGCTTGGTGATAATGAAGTCAGTAACATTGTTCATCAGTAATTGTTGGGGCTTGTTGTTGCGGTCGTTTGGTGCCTTAAGAGCTAACACACAAGTTCAGTTAAAAATATGCTACACTAATCTAATTACAATCAGTGAAAATCAAATGTACACACACATAATAGAAAATAAAACAAGGCAAAGAGCGCTGCTATACAATAAGTTAACTACAAACACAATTCATTTAGTTACAGATTACTAATCTAAATTAGCTCGATTCGAATCGATGCAAACGTGATTTTCACAAAAATAAAATTAAACATAAAGCAAAATAGACAATTCAATATTTTCATTTGTTGCGCATGTGGCCGCCTATCGATTGATTTTCCCCAGTGGAAAATCTCGCTACTATTTCCCATTCTCGTCGTACTATACTCGTCATTCTGTTCAGCAATTTAACTAAATTAATTTACATTAATTACTCGACGTGGTGGCATTCGCCGTCGGCTCGCCCGTGTTGCTGCGGCTGTCGAGCGACCAGTCCCAGTCCTTGCCCTTGGGCCGAAACTTTGAGGACTTGTGATGGTGATGATAGCTGGCATTTGCATTAGCATTGGCATTGGCATTGGCATTTGCATTGGCGCCATGATGGGGCGATGATTTCTCTTTTGGCGATTTGCCCGACTTGCTCAGCACAGCTGGCGGCGTTGCTGCCACCATGCCGGACGCGTCCAGTGCAGTTGGCGGCCCATTGCCCGCCGCATCGGCGGCCGTGGGCGGCGCACTGGAGTTGGAGTAGGCCAGCAGCTCGTCGCAGTCGTACTCCCAGTTCCGCTCGCAGAACTTCTTCTTGTAGTGCTTCTCGGATCCGCCCTTGAACTTGCGCTGGTATTTGAGCGGTATGCGCAGATCGTTGACCAGCGACGGTGCATGCACAGGTGGGGGCGTGGCCACGCTTGCCGCACTCGGACTGGGCGTACGTGGCAGACCCACGTCGGAGAGTGGCGGCGACTCGATTGCGCTCGGATCAACCGGCGAAATGGTCTTCAATGAGCTGCTTGCATGCAAGGATGAGGATGCAGTCGACTTCATGCTGCTGTCGCTCAAGTGGTCTGCCAAGTGTTGCTGCTGTTGGTGTTGATGTTGCTGCTGTGGCTGCTGTTGCTGCGGCTGCTGTTGTTGCTGCAATTGCTGTTGCATTGGCTGCTGCAGCGGCTGGTGGCCATGCTGATACGGATGATGGCTCAGATTGTGCACCTGGCTAGCGTAGAGGCTGCTGTTGGTGCTGCTGCTGCTGCCGCTGCTGCTGTTATTGATGGGCAACTCCAGCTGCGATGAGCTGGAGGAGGTGGACAAAAAGGTGCGCACTGCGTCCGAATTGCTGCTGCTGTGCGTGATGCCCGAGTCGGGCGAGGTGTTGCAACTGATCGAAGCGGGCACCGTGTCGCCGTCGATGGAACGGCGCGTCTTGTCCAGCTCGGTGCTGGCAAAGGCCACCAGCCGGTCAAAGCCGGAGCTGACGCGATGCTGCCAATGGGATTCCTCGTCGGCCGCAATGACATCGTCTGTCATGGAAAAACAAAGAAAATAGATTAGATATAATGCACGCTAAAAAATCGATTTAGTGAAAGGAGCAACAGCTGCAGCCGGAACTGCCGGCTGCTCTGTGTGCTGCTGCTCTTCGTGGTGGTGTGTGTGTGTTGGTTGTATTGGGTGTGGGTGACTGCTAGACTGTGTGAGTTCGATAACATTGGAGATGACGATTAACGATAGCGATTAAGCAAAGTGTAGCCAAGCCCTCAACATTTCATAAAGTTGGCTCAAATCAATGCTAAATGAAGTCTGCGCATGAAGTTGGGCTTGCGGCCTGTGCGTGTGTGTGTGTGTGTGTGCGGTTGTATGAATATTAAGATTAGAGCGTTACAAAAGAACAGGAAAATCATAAATCAAATCAAATAAAAATAAAAATTTAATGAAATAAATAAAATAAAAAATGTAAGGAGAGAAATTAACCAATTAGGCGCAACAGAACTTACCTCATGCTCATGTTTTAATTTTATATATGTGTATATAACAAATTATACTAGATAAATTTGTTTTTAATTCGGTTAGATTAAATTATTGAACGTAAAATAAATTATGTTTTGTCTTTTTATAGGTTTATTCGTTTCTCTTTTCTTTTCTTTTTTTTGTAAGTATATTAGCTGTGTTTTTATTTTGTACTCTGCTTCGCAACAACAACACAATACGTTTTACGTTTTGGCATTCTCTAGGGATTGTTCGTCTTGATTTTAATTATTATTATTATAATTTTTTTTTTTTTAAGTTAATTTGCAGTTTTTCTCATGTACTTTTTGGGTTTTGGCTTTTTGAAAATTTGGAGGTATTCAATGGTTGTTATTATTACTGTTACTACTACTATCGGCCACAACAAATCCATTTAAATTGGTAGCTGTTTGTTTCGTGGCACCAGACATAGTCGAAGTCGGTGTGCGAAGTCGACGTCTGGGATCGTAATTAGTTATAGAACGATGCGTTGCCGAATCGGTAACTGTATGGGAGTAGAGCATAATAGAAGGGATATAAAGACGAGTTTTGGATAAGTAACGGGGGGCTTTTTTTTTTAATTTTTTTTTTTTTTTTTTTTTTTTAATTAATTTGGTCCATTGTTCGATAAATATTTTATATATATATTTTTTTTAGTAATTTTTTGAAAATTAATTATGCAAAAATAACATTCCAGAGGAGATTGTTAATATCCAGGTAACAAAAATTATTTAAGTTGAATTATGTATGTTTCTTTTTTACAGAGAGCTGTTTGTGTATGTATGTATGCGTGTCTCATGTGTAAATTAATTTTGTTGCTTTTTATGAATTCAATGATAAATTTGACATGACGCGAGTAACTGAATGAGAATTAGCGTAGCATTTATTCGTTTATTTTTGTTATTTGATTATTTTTTATAATAACTTATTTACATTGACAGCAACGTGTCAATGGATCGGAGACTATGAACTGTTGCATTTGTGATAAGCATCTTTACATATTTATGTATAAACCAAAATACATATACTTAAAATCTTTTATAAATATATTTGACTTTATTTATTTCTAAGTCTATCAATTTCAAATTTTTCCTCATTGAATAATTTCAATATATTTCAAAACATTTATTATAAGCAACATATTTGATTTTTTGTTTGATTAACAATTTAACAGCGATAATAAAATAAATATATAAAAGATTTCTTTAGCATTTAATATCATCTTATTTTCATATCTTTCGGAAGATCTTGTTTCTTGTTAGGGAATGCAACTTGTTTATAAACGCGTGTGTTTCTTTATATTTATATTTTTATATTTTATTTTTGACTTTATATAAAAATGCGTTTATATGATTTCCGTTGTCCGTTAAGCAATATATGTTAACTATTTAATTTATTATTTGCATGTTAGTCAAGGGTAAGCATTAAATTTAGATGCAGGAAGGAACTACAAAGTCAAACTACAAAAAAATAAAAGTGCAAGCGATAAAATATTGAGAGGGAAACAAAACAAACTACGGACAGCACACAACATGGATAAAAATAAAATAATTGCAACTTAAAATCTTGCAGCATGACCGAAAGCATTTTTTGTTTTCGTTTATATATTTACAAATAATTATATTAATTAAAAAGTGTAATATGTATAAATTGTATAAAATGTGTAAAATATGCGTGTGGATCAAGCGATGGTATTGAGTTTAGCTAGTGGTGCTTGAGCTGGTAGTGGAGCTCGAGGATGAGACGCTTTCGGTTTCAGAGTCGTCATCCTTTGACGAAACGGAGACGTTTGACCGTCTGCTCGTAACGGTAAGATCTTGTGCCACCACTTGGGTGGCGAGTCGTGTTGGATAGTGGTGCAATTGATGGTATTGTACATGTGCTGGTGGTGCGTGTGGTGCGTGGAATTCGCGTGTGTGTGATGCTGTGGCTATGTCTTGGTCTTGGTATACAAATGGCTTACCGTCATCACCGGCATTGGATCGCTGGCCGCCCACAATGGTGGGCGTGATGCTGTGACTGGTCTGATGCAAGGCACGCACGTGCTGCTGGGCATGCTGATGTGGCTTCTGCTGGTGGTGGTGCAGCTGCTGATGGTTCGTCGATAGCTGCAGCGGCCGCTCATCGCCCATCAGTGAATTAATCTCGGGACTCATCAACAGCGGCGGCTCCACAAGCAGCTTGCTGCGTCTGCCACACGACGACGATGAAGACGACGGCGTCGGCGACGGCGTGGTGGCATCATGTGCCGGCGGCGGCAGCGCAGACCCACCGTTGCTATTCACATACAGATGCTGATGGGCATGGGCAGGCGGCTGCTGCTCGAAATGCGCCAATTTGGCAGGTCGCGAGGGCTGCTGATGTGAGGCCAAGGGCGAGCTCCGCTTCACGCCCACTATAAATAAAAAAGGAGAGCATTAATTAACTGTTGCAAGAGAGATGCATGCAGAAATATAGCTTACGCTCCACTTTGTGTGGCGTGCCATTGATAGCGCCAGCGGCTGGATGATGGTGATAGCTATGGGCGGGCGGCGCCTGATGCGCGAAATGCGGCGCCAATTCCAGTGCGGATGAAGTTGCTGCAGCAGCTCGCCGTTGTCGCTCCTCGTTCTCCTCCTTGTATTTGCGTGCTCGCACATGATCCTGCAGCGAGGCGGCTAGTCCTGTAAGCAATTAACAACGATAATTAGCAATGCGTATAAAGCAAAGTTTTCAGATTGTGGCGTCATCTCAGAAACAGATTTGCTTCAAGTCGAGTCACTTGATAACCAACTAACTAAGATGCCGCCACAATTAATATGTGCTTAAGGATCAAACAATGTAATACGAAAATTCATCTGTTCATCAATTCATCGATTCATCATCGTTGCATTATGTATGATCTAGGTAGTTAGAGTACTTCTGATACATAGGGATGACATCATTTGGAGTCTTCTTTCTAAATTTTTCGGTTTGTACATAAATAATGGGTATTTTGTATTATTTTTCAATGTTTACATATTCGAATATAATGAGAAGTAAATAATTCACTCTGTATTTTATTGAAACGTTAATTATGATAACGTTCAGCACCATCACGAATTTGCCTTCAATGAGATCGTCAGCTTTCTCTCTCTCTCTCACTGGCAATAGTTTCTCTTCACCTTTTCTATGCAAATCTTATTGGAATTCAGTTTGTCATAATTGAATTATTTTGTTTTTAATAAAATGATTAATTGAATATCCATTATTGATTTAGTTTAGGTTCATAATATAGTTTGGTATACTATTAATGAAATCAAGTTCTTTTAAACGCTTCGCTTTTGTACTACAAATCACTGCGAGTTGACTCAGTTCATCTTTTCTTATATAAATATAATATGATTTATAACATATACATGATCTCATACGATTCAACATCTCATTCCATTTTCATTAATGCATAATTCAAAAACTACAACAGCATACATAATTTTCTAATATTTCATTATTTGTTAGGGTATTCTCAAGTCAGTCATTCCCGACTAGGTTGTACTACTTACCTTCTAAGGGCGGATTAGCGCCGTTTAGGCGTGGTGCGCGCAACGTGCTGGCACCGCCCACTGTTCCTTTGGACTTTTGATGCTGTTGTTGCTGCTGCTGGTGTTGCTGCTGCTGCTGCTGCTCCTCGTGAAAGTAAGCCTCAATACAGCCCATCATTTCCGCTCGCGGCAATGCTACCGACTGATAATCACGTCCCGTGCGTCCCGTCGAGGCGCTCCTTGCTCCCGGCTGCGGCTTGTGGGCGTAGGCAACGTGCGCCAGGGTGGCCAGGTTGTTGCTGCTGCCGCTGGCTGCCGCCTGGCTGTAGTTGGTCGGCTGCGGCTCTGGCGCATCGTCGTTGAGGGGTCGAACGTGCACGCGCTCCGGCCGTTGGGCATTCAGATTGATGAGCAGCCGCTCGTTGGTGCGCTCGGCAAGGAACGCGCGCTCCATGAAGTGGGCAGCGCTGCTGCTGCTGCCGCTGCCCGTGCTCATGTTGACCGCCGCATTGATGATGCTCTGATGCGAGATCTCCAGTGTGCGCTCGATTTCGCCAGTGACCAGATCCCCGATGGTCTTGCCCGATGTTACTGGAGGCGCCAGTGCCATGGGCGGTGGTGTGGGCAACGCCTGCGGCGGCTGGTTGAGTTTCTCCTGCGAGAGGTGCCGACGCAGCGCCATCTTCGCTGGCGACACCTGCGTGTAGTCCGGCTGCGAGCTGTTGGAGCTGGGTCGACTCGGTGGTCGCACGGTCAGCCGTTCCACACGGTAGCCAGCATAGTCCGAGTTGGCCGAACTCGCTCGGGGCAATAGCTCCAGGCTGTGCTGCTGCGACTGTTGGTGTTGTTGGTGTTGCTGCTGCAGCTGTTGTTGCTGTTGCTGCTGGTGCTGCTCTGCCAGTTGCTCACGACTGCCTGAACGCTGCAGCAGATTCTCGGCTGGCGCCTTGAACTCTGCTGAGGTGCCCGCTCCCTGATGGTGATGATGTAAGTGTCCCAGTTGGGCATGATGTGCGAGTTGCTGCTGCTGCTGCAAGTGTTGCTGTTGTTGCTGCTGCTGTTGTTGTTGCTGCTGTTGTTGATGTTGCTGCTGTTGTTGCTGCTGCTGCTGCTGCTGGAGTCGCTGCTGTGCCACATGGGCCAGCATGAGCGCATGTTGCTGTTGCTGCTGCTGCTGCGCCATAAAGTGCTCGTAGCTGTTGGCGCTAACCGAGGCACGTCGTCGATGGAAGCCCAGATCTGCGGACGTGGGCGGCGCCGCTGTCGAGACGCCGTGGCTAGCGTAGAGCGTGGCCATGTGCGCCGACGACGCCGCTGACGACGACGGTGGCGGTGGTGGTGGCGGCGGCGGAGCAGCCGCACCTGGCCTTGCCGGCGAGTACTTGGACTCCTTGAGCAGAACCGTTTGCCCATACTTGCTCGACATCTGCTGCAATTGCTGCTGCTGCTGTTGGTGCTGTTGCTGTTGCTGCTGGTGATGTTGCTGCTGCTGCTTGCTGCTCATGTAGGCGCTGCCATAGGGCAAGTTGGCAGGCGGCGGCGGCGCCGTGGACGCAGCAGCTGCTGCCCGCGGTCCCGGCAACGGCGGTGTTATCGGCGATATCGTCGTGTTCGCATTCAAGTGCATCAGACCCTGCGTCGAGACGGTGATGATGTTGTGCAAATTGTTGGCGCTGGATGCTTGGCCCATTTGCTTGCTGCGCTTCGATGCGGGCGACTGCAGCGGAGCGGGCGGTGCCTCTATGATGGGCATCGCCTTGCTGCGCTGCTCCTGATCCTCGTTGAGCGCTGATGTGATGATGCTCTTCAGCCTGTCCTCGAAGTTGGCCACCTTCGGCGACTCCTGCTTGCGACCCAGTCCGGGCAGCTCGCACTTGGGCAACAGCACGGCTTGCTGCTGCGCCTGCTGTGGCGCCTGGGACTGCTGCTTGGGCGCCGGCATCAGCGTGCTGTCCTTGTACAGGGCAGGCGAGGTCTTCGGCTCCGCTTTGGGCTTGCCATTCACATAGCTGATGGGGTTGGCGGCGCTGCTGGTACTGCTGGCGCTGACCGCAGCTGGCGGCGGCTGGAATTTGCCCGCCTCCACCTGGCGACAGGTCTCGAGTATCTTTTGGGCCAGCACCTCGGGATTGCTCTCCTGTATCTTACCCACCTCCGGCACCTCGGGCCACTCCTGCGACCGTGCACGATGCTCGCGGCTGCGACGTGACGCCTTCCCGCTTGCCACCTTGCTGCAATTGGTTTGCGCCACCGGCGCTGCAGCATTTGTTGGCACGGTGGGGGCGCCACTGGCCAGGCTGATGTTGGTGCCCTGGGCCAGCAGAGCCGCCGCTGTGCTGCGCTCCTCGGCTGACTTTTGCAGCGAGCTGGTCTCCTGTTCGATGGTGGAGACCTGGGCAACGAGCTTCTTGCGCTGGCTCAGCGTGTTGGCTATTTCCTTCAGCACCAGTTCCTGGGCCGCCGTTTCGGACAGCTCCTGGGGCACTTCGAGCTTGATCTTGCTGTTGCCGCCATTGGTGGTAACGGTGCACAGTTTCTGATACTCGGGCAGATGCTTCAGATGCTTGCTCAGCAGCAATTTCTGTTCGCTCTCGTAGACGGTGACCTCGTTGCGCATCTTGCTGACCGCATGCTGCAGATCCTTGTGCCGTCCGACAATCTCCTTGGCCTGCGCAATCAGATCGTTGGGCGAGTTCACGTTAATGCCCAGCTCGTTCATGCGCACCTTGAGCAGCGTCACGCTGTCATCGATCAGCACCTTGATCTGCTTGTCCAGCTGGCTGGCTCGATTCTTCAAGCGCGACATCCGCTCCTGCTCCTGGGCAATTTGCTTCTGCACCTGCGGCATGTATGTGCTCGAGCGCATCTGCTCAATGATCGCCATATACTGAGAGCGGAACACATCCAGCAGAATCTGCAGCGCGTATGGCGTATCCTGCGGCGCCGCAGGAATGTCCAGTTCCCGATGCGACATGTCGCCAGTGAGCAGCGACGTCAGCTGCTGATCGACTGTGCCCGGTGCGGCGGGCAGCTTCTTTGTCATCGCATCCAACGAGGTGCTCAGCACCGTCTGCTTGTGCAGCACATCCAGGCCGGCGATCTTCAAGCACTTGCGACCGCGTTGTCCCTTCTTCATGCGGCCCTTGCGCCCGGGCCCGGCACTGGCCGCACGCGGCTGATCCTCCTTGCTGCTGGAGTCCTTGCTGGCCGAAGCGGACGTCGCGGATGCAGCAACAGCAGCGACTGCGGCTGCCTCCTCAGCCTCCCGCTGCGCAGCCGCTGCCGATTTGCTGGCAATGGCCGCCTTGCGCGTTAGCTTCTTGCGCTTCTTCAGCGTGGTGACGGCGCGTGGTGCACGTGCCTGGTGGCTGTTGCTATTGCTGTTGCTGTTGCTGTTGTTGCTATTATTGTTTTCCTCGTCATCTGACTGGGAGCTCTTGCCCTTGGAGCTGCACCAATCCGACCACACTTTGCGCGTCATTGGCCCGTTCGAGGCGGAAGTGGTGTTGGTCGCTGTGGTGGTATTTCCGCTATTTCCATTGTTCACCTCCCCATCCGCATCGCTTTCCGTGCTGCTGTCCATATTCAGATTTCGTTGCTGCAACTGTTGCTGCTGCTGCTGCTGCATCTGTTGCTGCTGACTTTGTTGCTGTTGCTGTTGTTGTTGCTGCTGTTGCTGCTGTGCACTTGCTAGCTGTTGGCGCGTCTTGGAGGCGGCCTGTCCACTGCCGTTGCCGTTGCCGTTGCCGTTGGAGCCGCTGACATTCGCCGGCGACTGCGACTGATGCCGCTGCTGAGCTGGACCGTTGAACATCTCCCTTTCCCGCTCGCGCTGCTGTTCCCGCTGCTCCCGCTGCTGGCTATTGTTGTTGTGCTGGTTGTTGTTATTGTGGTTGTTGTTGTGCTGGCCAGTGTTAGCCTCACGTTTGGCGCGATCTCGTGTGGTGCGAACGGTGCCTGAAAGAGATGAAGATCAAGATTTTTCAATTAGAAACGTTTGGCTGTGAATTTGCAATTCCTCCTCCTCAATTCCTATAAATGCTTTGCGTAGACCTAGCCACAGGTTGGTAAAATATATAAAAATATTTTTAAAATAAAATCCTAAACAGAAAACCTTTTCGAATAACTTATTTATTTAATAAATAATGTTTGTATATTAAAATAAATTATTTTAAATTTCATTAAAAGAAAGTCTGCTAAAAAAAATGCAAATTTTCACTTAAATTAATATCACATCTACATTTGCAGCGTTATGAAACATCAAACATAGACTTAAAGAGTAAATCGTTATAAACTTTTTTTTTATTCATATACTATAACATTTACTTAATAGCCAAGGAGCATGCAATCTTAGTTGAAGATCATAAATAATTCAAATCAGAGTATCTTAAACTCAATACTCTTTTGCCTATAGCCTTTCAAATACCTTTCCTTAAACACTCTTAGCCCTATCTGAACTTGTTCTTAGATATATATCGAATATAGATCTGTTCAGCTTAAGATACTTATCGAAAATGACTGATCATATAAATGACTGGAAATGATGATTTTCTGATTGATGATTGACTGACTGACTGTTTTGATCATGACTGAGATTCGAGATTGAGATTTGTGACTGAGTGAACGTGTGCTGTGTATATTTATAGTAACGCCTGCTTCTCCGTTAAGCTCCCAGCTTCCAGCTACTTACCCACATGCTCGTGATCACCGCCCTTGGTTTTCAGGCGCTGAAAATAGCGCTCCAAAATGGTGCGATCGATCACATGTAAATAATATGAAACCGGCTTGCAGGTCCACGAGACGGAGCCCTTCAGTGGCGGTATTTCGCTCACATGCATAATGGTGCCAATATCAGAAAGGTTTCTGCAATCAAGATGAATTCGTTTTTAGTTAAATTTGAATTTCTACATTTAAATATTACGACTTACCGATCTGTGATCCGAAAGTTGAGCGGGCAGAATGATTTGGATGAAACAACTCGTGCGCCATCTCGCAAATCGGCAAATCGCTCCTTCAGCTGATGATCCACGGTCGGACCGAAGGCAAAGTTGTTGACAAACACCAAAGTGGAGGAGGTGATTTTCTCTCGATGCTCGTCGACCAGAAAATCGCCCTTGATCAGTTTGTACTCGCAGTAGCGTTTGCCAAACCAGCCCATATACTGGCGAAATATCTGATCCATGCGTTCGGCATAGCGAGCGGGCGTATCGGCCTTCTCGATACCAATGCATGTTTTAAGCGGAAACGATCCGGCCATTTGTAGTACCACCTGTCCCACACCGGAACCGAGATCAATGAACGTGTCCTCCTTGCTAACGGTGACATGCTTGAGCATTTGCTGTACCAGCTCGTACGATGTCTCGCCATAGACCTCCGGCGAGAAGGGCTCGTACTGATTAAGCTTGTCCGGATCGAGCACGGCAGCATTGTAAACTAATTGCAGTATGTGTCTTAAAAGGCTAGGATGAGCGAATTTATTCAAACGCTCGGCGGGCAGTGAAGTTCCTTTTTCCTGTAAATATTGAAGCAAATAATTAGTTTATATTAGTTTATATATAATGGGGCGATGGCGTTGGGGATCTCTAATGAAAATGAGATGTACTTGGAAATTATATTTGAAAGTTGTTTTAAAATATATTTATTTGCAATTTTTTTTATTATTTTTAGTTTAAAAAATTTTTTCATGTTTATTTTAAATTTAAAATTTTTTTTTTTTAATTTAAAATTTTTTTATTTTTAATTTAACAAAAAAATGTTGTATTTTTAATTTTAAAAAAATATATTTTTTTTTAATTTAAAAAAAATATTTTTTTATTTAAATATTTTTTTTAATTTACATTTTTTTGAATCTAAATTGTTTAATTTTAAATTTTTTTAAGTTTAATTTAAGGTTTTTTATTTTTAATTTCTATAGTTGCTTTACGTTTACGAAACTCCCTTAATTTTATTTATTATTATTATTTTCTTTTTAGTATCGACATATATGGAGGCAAATATCATAGCTATCTGCATAAGGAAATTCGGGGTAACTGTATGTACTTACCAATGCAACAATACTGTCGACAGCTTTGTTGAAGCGATCGACAAGATTTGTCATAGTCTTATAGCAGGCAGTGTCAATGTGATTGAGGTTGATCTCCTCGAATGCGGATGAAATGGATGGCAGCTCATCACATACGAATTTAATTGTATCGATAATGTCGATGCCATTGTCGTGCTTATCCTGTCCATGTCCCACCTGCAGTGGCCAGGCAAAGGTGATGGTTTCGGAGGAGCCAGCTGGCGAGCGCAACACCAAGTCTTTGACTTGGGGTGTTGCCATATTTTTCCCTTGCCAGCTGTGCGGCAAAAGGTCAATGGGATTCGAAACACCAAAACAACGTCACGTTGTTGTTTTATGCTTCGCAATTGGTCGTCCAATTGTTATAGATGTTATTGTTATAGATGTATGTATATTGTATATATTGCTGATCAAATTATTTGAGTTGCTTGCAGTGTTGTTGTTGTATGATGAGCATGAGCGTTCATATATCATGGGCTATATATGCATAATGAATATATTGATGCTGATGCTGATGTGGATGCTGATGATAACTATGATGATGATGATGATCAATAAAGTTGGCAAAGGAGCAGTGTTGAGGAGTTACGCGTTACGTTACGTTACGTTTCTTTTTGTTTAACTTAAGGGTTTGCGTTACAATTACGATGACGATGATAGATTGGTTGTTTGTTTGTTTGTTTCTTTGTCGTCTTAGGAACAGTGGCAGCGTTGGGTTAATTATGTTAACGTCTATATTGGGCTAAATTAAAAACAAAACAAAAAGATGCAGTAGAACGAGAAACTATCCTCTACTTGATTCTGTGTGCGTGACGTTATGTTACGTTACGGCCGTTACGTTATGGCTGCTACAATCTCTGCTGCTTCTGCTTCTGCTGCTGCTGCTGCTGCTGCCGCTCCCACCCGCAAATTTGTCTCGCTCCGTCTTCTCTGCCTCCTCGGCGTCGTCGTCTTCCTCCAGCAGCAGTGGCAGCCAATGGAACAGCAACAAAATACAAAAGTAACTGATGATAGTTGCGTAATTTAATATTTTGCTGTATGTTAAGAAAGCGATGCATTTTCCTCAATGTGTGACAACATTTTCGACTATCATATGCCGAAGCTAGTGTTGCTGTTGTTGTTGTTTTTGTTTTTGTTGCTGTTGCTGTTGCTGTTGCTCTTGCATTAGTTGCCTCTCATCGACTTGCATTCCAGCAATTGCATTTCATTTCATTGCGTTGCTCGGCACGCGCGCTTCGCCTATTCACGTTACGCATGATGCGCGCGCGTCGTTCAGTGTTGCAAAACGTCGTATGTATGTGTAGAAGTCAGACAAGTTTCTTTACAAAGTATTTATTTTTTCTTATTGTTTGTTTGTTTTGGGTCTGCAAGAAGAAAGAGAAGAAACAGAGAAATGGTAGAACATAAATAAATAAGGCTGGAGAATGCTTTCAAAATAAAACAATCAAAAGAAAATGTCTATAACGCAAATTTACCCATTTCCAATGGGTTCAAATTATAAATTAAGATGTTAACAACGAAATTGTGAGTTACTGATTATGAGCGTGCTTTTAGCTAATGTTGGTATAAGGTAGAAGCTGTTTTAGAGATGCTGCACCATGCGTGTGTCTCGATGAAGGAATACGTAATTATTTATAATTATCATTAAATGAGTGCGCATAAATGTGAGAAACGAGGTAACGCACTAGGTTATTTAACACTATCAATTTAAGACTATATAACTAATTTAATCAGTTAGTAGTTGGCGATATCAGCGGCTTATCCAGTATACTCATAGCCTATGCATTACCAGAGTTTTGTAGAGTCAGGTAAAGTAATCAGAACAACACATATAATTTCATATACTTAGTTTAAAATATAGAAATAAAACAAATATATTTAATAATATTAGAAATTCAAATTTAGTTTAAGATATATTTTTGGTTCAGTTGAGCGGAAACGAAATTGTAAAAATCTATGGATTTATTTTAACTATATATATATATTCATAAATTCATTCAATAATAGATATGTATTTAATTCCTCAAGTGAATGAGCCGAATGAGAAGTTGCTGTCCAAATTTCTCCCATATTTTCCATATGCAGCCCCTAAAAGCTTTTCTTGTCCAGACTTAATGTTAGTTATTTAGCAATTCTTTGTATTTCTAATGCTCATTTATAAAACAACGCACGTTCCAAAATCTTTATAATTTTTTGCTTTTTTTCTCTTTTGCATACAATTTTATTTCCGTACGCATTGGGCGTGTGGGCGTGTCCCCCAGGACGACAATGGGACTTCATTAGCATAGCCAAAAATGTCGACGACAGCCAAAGTTATTTTAATGCCCGCCTCTAGAGGCGGGCGTGCTGGACGAATGCTTTAGAAAGAAAATCAATAACAACCCCAAAGCCGTTCGCCATTTGGGGAATGGAAAATGGGGCTTAATTAAAGCTTTTGGGCATTGGCAACATTTTTAAAGCAGCTCGCCTGGACATTCAAGCATTTGGTAGCTCCAGCGCCATATTAAAGTGTATATATCCACATGAATATGTGTATATATATATGTATAGATTATGCTGAAACTCAAACCAATCCTGTCTGGCAACTATTCTGACAACACACACACACACACACACACATGAAGCATACACGTTTATGCATATATACGTATACATAAATTCCGCTATGTATATACAATATTTGCTATGCATCCACGTGTGCCGTTTGTTTTGCATCTGTATGCGAAATTCTGTGCGAATGCCTCTCCATCTGTAGCTGTAGCTGTAGCTGTGTCTCTGTGTGTATCTGTATCTGTATCTGTATATGGTGGTACGACGGCACGCCAACAGACAACCATTGCGCTGCATTTGCCCGTCCCCTGTATCGATCCTACCACTTATCCTGCCCGGGCGGTTAACCTCACTGTGGCCAGAGACCCTTGTCTATCCAGACATGTCTGCAGTGTGCGTGCGCGCGTGAGTGTGTGCGTGTGAGTGTGTGTGTATGCGTGCGCCCGTTACTTGAGCTTAATGGCATAGCCACTTTGGCATCCGCCGGGTCAGACACAGCAGCTATTTAACTGCATTAATTTAATCAATAATAACAATTAATTTCTTGTAGTTCGTTTACTCCATTATTCAGATCATAATGCGATTGGAAGACCTAATGGCTCAGAAAGAATTACATGAATCACAGCCAAATTTAGTCTCTGTGCAGCATAACTAAATCATGTACAATTCCACTCAGGTGCAACCGAATTAAAGCGTGCTCAAATGCAACTAGAAATTATAGAAATTATCTTTGATTAGTTGCATTTCAGTTTTAGTTACATATACTAGACTTTAGCAGTAGAATGTAAGTCTATTTCCGACTATAATTAGCAACGACATAGCAGCTATACATACTCCAGTTCATCAACAGAACTTTGTATGCTTCGCATGCTCATGTCAAAGCAAATCTTTGTATAATTATATAAATTAGTCATAATCAAATTCTCATATATGTATTTTGTTTTAGCATTTATTGCTGTTTGTATGAAATGACTTTAGGCCTGGGTTGGCATTGAATAGATGTCGAATGTTGGGTTATAAAATCATTTACATGGTCAATAGGAAATGTGTTAGCTATATATATGCCAGTTGGAGTATGCTTAGTTATACTCTGTGCTAGAATAGAGATTATAGAATAGAATTCTATATGAAATTTCCACACAATTGCTGCAAATCTGTTTAATAGAATGAACTTTAAATAAATAAATTATATGGAAAAAAGTACTATAAGAAATATTTTCCTTTTACTCTTTCAATTACCAAGCTAAGAATTCGAAATAAATAAATAGATAGATTTAGATTGCATATCAGTTATATTTACACTATTTAGTCAGAGTATCTATGTACATCGATCAACATCGAAATGAATATCCCTTTTTAATCAATTACATTCAGTTATTTACACTATATAGTCAGGGTATCTGTCTAGCTTAATGCAGTTGAACAAACTTTCTTAATTGTTGTGCATGACTGTGAAGGCGTGACACACATTTCAATTCCATGCCTACTCATTCGCACTCACACACACACTTACACACACATACACACATACTCACACACACGCTAGTTGACACAATTACAGAGCGCAGGAACTTTGCCGCGCTTTTAATCAACTTAAAAAGCTCTCACAGTCCATGCCATGCCATTCTCTTACACTCGCTCAGCACACCAACCGCCCGCACCCTCCCCCCGCCCAGTCACTACGCTCGGCAACTCTATGGGGGGAGAGTACTTTTGCATACAATATGTCTGGGTGGCTGACACACGCGAGCAGCGCTGCCAACGCCCACGCGAGCAACTTATTTTCTGCTTCTTCTTGCAGCTGTTATTGTTCGTGTTGTTGTTGTTGTTGTTGTTGTTGCTGCTGTCGACTCTCGCCCTGTTTTTGTTTTACGACTTTTGCCTGCCACGCAGTCTGTGTCTGTGTCTGTGCTGTGTTCTGTTTGTTGATATCGCAACTGTAACAACAACAATAAAAATAAATCGCGAGCAAAAAATAAACTACAACTAAACTGAATAAAAATTTCTGATGTTTGTGCCCAATTCTCTCTCTCTATTTTCCTCGCTCTCTCTCTCTCCAACTCTCGCTGCTGTTTTGCTATTTTTATGAGCAACTTTTATTAATATGATTGGCCATTCTGATTGCTCATTTTTAGCCGTTAGCCGCTGTGGGTCAAGGTCATTGCGACAAATGTATAATTAAATACCGCACAACTGTCTGTTGCCGCAAGGCAAGCGAACAAATAATGCACAAATTCTGATGTGCGTAAGTGTATGTGTGTGTGTGTGTGTGTTTGCATCTGTCAGCTGAAATGTCTATTAAATGCCGTTGTTGTTCGCACGCCCACCTAGACCCTATATCACACACACTGCCCACTTGTTGGTCGACTGTAATTACATTATTTCATCGTTGACTACGAATACAATTTTTATTTTATTATTTAGAACTACATTTACATACATACAAACATACATACATATGTATACATACAACAATATATTCATGGTCACGTGTTTGTTGTGATTGCATGACTGAAGGTTAAATTAGTTTACGCTTTGATTTCGCGTTAATTTGTTTGACTTTTATTGCTGTTGTTTCTTCTTGTCGGCTCTAATTGTTGTTCTGCTTCTAATTGTTACACAAAAAAAAAAAAAAAAAAAAAAAAAAAAAAAAAAAAAAAATACAAAAAATACTTTAACTATACGTATTTCTGTTTAGGTTATTCGCGCAAGGTCTCCCCTTTTGGGGTCAAACATTCCGTATATAAATACTTGCCTTTGGAGAAGAGAACAAAATATTTATGAAAACAATAGAAGATGAATTCTTGCTAATGAAACAATTGAAACAATTTCCTTTTGCTTAAGAAATTCCAATGAAATTTTTGCAAGATTATAAATTTGTAAAAATATGCATGGAATTATCAAGTATTAAAAAAGAGAGAAAAAAAAACAAAAACAACAGCTGCAAACTGAGCTTTTCACAGAATTTATTTATTTTCGTGCTTTGCACAAATATATAAATATATATTTGAATTTATGCATATATGTATTCGCATGTGAATGTATGCATATATTTCTGGCATTAAGAAGAAAATTGTGTAAAGCGTCCGTCAGTCATATTGTTTTGTTGTTATTGTTGCAACGCGGTGGCATTCCGTGTTATCATTGAGGTCATGCGCTCAATATTGATAATCAATAATGCGCGCACACATACATACAAACATGCATGTGTGTGTGTGTGTGTGTTGTCTGTGCGCACAGACTTAACGCATTTTCTGTATAATGAGCAAGAGCATTGATTATTTCTGGCTGATAAGACATTTTTTCATGGAAATTATATAAAATTAAAAATTTTTTAAAATATATATATATAAATGCATTAAATATGGGCTCATTGTAAATGGGAAATCAGGGCATAATAGGCACAAGGGGACTTTCTTAGCTATCTGTAATTGTTATACAGATTTGCTTTGTTTGTTATATAAAAAAACTGTTATACTTCCTCATTTAAGTGAGCGCCAGCAGCAGAAATTTAAGGCTATCAAATGTTTGAGGCTGATTCTAATCAGAATCGCTGCACAAACAAAAACTCTGATAAGATAGGAATTTGACCTAGTTATGTTTAAGAGCTTTAGATATGTATACATACAGACAATCATATATATATATACCAGTATATACAAGAACAATAAAAATAAATAAAATAAATATAACAACAACAAAAACATATGTCTGCCAACCACAATCCGAAGTTGTATTTATTTTTATTAAAATTTAATTTCGAACAGCTTGCAACAAGTCAAACACCTGCTCCGCTGATCACCCGTAGAGAGAGAGAGAGAGAGAGCTATAGCAAGTGTGTGAGGGTAGAGGATATTTGTATGTTTGTATGTTTATATATATAGTACAAATTTATGAACTAAATCCAATCGAATTTGTATTATAGAGAATCGTCTAGTCGATCATCTTTGCGTATACTAGTTCATATGCTGCGCCATTAATGGAGCTTGTGTATCTATAATTTCTTGTTGCTGAAGGATTCCAGTTGTGCTTTAGGCTTGCGGTTCGACTTACCCCAAAAACAGCTGCCGCTTGCCGTTGCACGTTGCACTTTGCATGGTGCACGTTGCATGGTGCACAGGGGGAACTTATCAAGTGACCGCAGGACGGTTAAACACAGGAACAGCGGGCAACAAGTAGTATAACGGGGCACGTGGCCAACGGACGGACGGCCAAAACCATTTTGGCCAGGCTTTGACAGCAAAATTTAAGGCCAACAACATGTGCAATAAATGACAGCAGACTTGGACGAACGAAGATAACATTGTAATTATGTATGTACACATGTACATATGTATATAGAGCCTTGTATTTATGTGCTTATGTTGTTGTTGTTAATGCATGTATTTACTTCTCTTTCATTCTCATTTAAGGGGTGTATTCAATGAAAAATTTAGCTGAAGCTAAATATGTGTAAATTTGCTGCTAAAGTTAAACTTTATTGATTTTCAGTTAGGTTGATCTCTTCGATCTGACAAAGTATTTTCATATAATAATATATGAATATATATATTCACGAAAAATAAAACGATCGCTACAATATTATATTTATCTGGCACTAAATACTTTGCATAATTATCATTATGTTATTATATTTATTTACATGTATTTACACAAAATCCTACAAAAGTTTTAATCTTCTTTTATCTATAGAATATGCATACATATAAACAATATATCTAGATTTTTTATAAAAATCTCATTTTCGAAGCTCACAAACTTTTCTACACTCAAGTTTTATTTCTTCAGTCCTTCGCCATTGCAGAGTAAAGACCTTTTAATGGGATACAAACAGTTGGCACGCCCACAATGCACAGGCGACAAAAGTACAAACTTTTGCATGCTTAAATATAGTTCAAAGAATGTGGAGAGACCTTAAGAAGCTGCACGTCTGCAGCTTGGTAAATAATAGGAAACACAAACAGCTTTAAACAGTGGAAATGCGTTATTAAAGTGCAAGAGTTGGGCAAAGGCAGTGGCAAGGAATGAAGAGAAACGAATGGAATGGAACAGCTCTTGAGCGTTACTCAAGCCAAGAACACTTTCTGCTTGCTTTAAACTGATTTTATTTACTTTGAGGGTTGAGATTCCACAAGAGCTCCAACCCCTCACTCACACAGATACAAACACACACACACACACACATACACACGCATAGCCGCACACATATATATTAAGCGAACGTGGGAAAAATGTGGAAAATGCGAACAAAAACGAGCAAAGTCAAAAAGGAATGGCAAAATGTTGGGGCAAGTGATAATGATGATGATGATGATGATGATGATGATGATGACGATGATAATGATGATGATGAAGAGAAATAACTAAACTAATGCCAGAGGGCTCTTCTAACGGAGGCAAAACTGGGCCCAGCCAAACTTATAAAATATGTATACAATAATGTGGCGTGGCATGTGGGTGGTGCGTTGTTAGGCCGGGTGGTTGAGTGATTGGGTGGGGTTGGGTGGCTCGAAATATGCAAAAAGTTGTTGAAAACTTGCTAAGCAAAAGGCATAAAATGTTGACAGAGTACACGTGTGTGTGCGTGTGTGTGTGTGTGTGCTTAGGGATAGGCTGACTTGAGGTGGAGATGGATATGTATACCTAAATATATACATACGTATGTAAGTGTATAATAGAGTATGCCTGTCAGACGGATCTCAGCTTCATTTCTTTTTGCTCTATAAACTTGTTTTCCAGTTTATTTCGAATTCATAGATAAATTATAAATTCTGTTTGAGAATATGTAAATGTAAATCGAAGTTTTCATTTAACAAACCCCATTTTTGCTAAGAGATATTGGCTATGCATTTATTAGAATTTCTGCAAGAACTTTCGTTAGGTTTTTGGCCAGCTGAGCCAATATTGTTTATGGCTTCTGACCACAGAGAAAGAGAGCTTTTCGTATCAGTAAATTGTCTCCGAAACACCAAAGGCAAACTTTTTTCATATTGGCTTCAGTTTCATCTGCGACAAAAACAATGCGAGAAACTGTGAAAGGGGAGGGGGGGAGGGGGTTTTATGTATGCTTATAGTTTGAGCAGTTCTGACAGATTTCATTGGATAAATGTTGGCAGGGATTTTACTGTTAAAATCCGGCAAAAAGTTAATCAATATTGTTGGATGCCAGGCGACTAAGACCAGAGCGAATAGGACGAAAGCAAAAAGGGATTACAGCTAGAGAAAATTTCACAAAATCCTTTCATATGCTGTGAGACCCGAAGATTATTTCACAAAATTGCAATTTATGGCCAGATGAAAGTTTTCCACATGCTTTGCACATTTGCGATGAAGCAGAGGAGTTCATAAATATTTATCAAATATAAAAGCAAAATATTAATTAAATACGAAATACAGTTGGCCAATTATAATTTTATTTTCAAAGTTAAGATTTCGTTTGTAAATATGAATTTATTTGCTTTTAAAAGCATTATTTATTTGATAAGTAATTAAATAAACAATTTATAAATTAAATATAAGGCGTTATTTGATTACTTTTGATTATATAAATACAATTTTAATAAAACTATGTATATTTAATTTTTTATTTTCTTTTTCTGTTTATCTACTTAAAAATGCAAATTTGAATATCAAATATATTTTAATAAATTTAATTTAGTTATCTTAATTATTTAATTATTATTCAATAAGCCCACATTTCTCGCTATCAGCACACACATACAATAATACATATATAGATTATTATCTATCAGAGCATATATTATTATATATGTTTTATGTACTCTTGCATGATTATTAATAAGCTTCCTCTCTCAATTCATTTATCTATGTATGTGTGTTTCCCGTATAACTTCACTGTTATATCGCTTGTTGGGCACAATGTTAAGTGAAAAAAATTATATGAAATTAAATGCATTAAAGTCGCCCCAAAACACACACATACGCACACACTCACACACACGCAGTAAATTTTCATTAAAGTAAAGTGCGCGCTTTAGCGTCTCCCATGGTAATGCTTTCCTTTTCGCTCGCATGGTCGGCGCGTGGCCCACCCAACGAAATTCCGCCTGCCTGGCAACGCAACGAACGTGGCTGCCGACAAACGAGGGTTGCTGCAGCAAAAACAACAAGTAATAAACACGACAGAGCAAAACAGAATACATACATATACAAACAAACAGAGCAGTGCAGAGAGCAGTGGGTGGAAGACAAAAAAGACGAAAGAAAAAAAAAACAGAAATAAAAGGAATACAAAAAGCGCGCTCTCTGTGGACTGGGCTTGGCTTGGGTCGCGTTGGGTTGGGTTGTGCTCTTGTGGGTGGGTGGGTAGGTATGTTTATTTCTGTCCATAGGGTTGCAGATGTGCTGAGCTGTGCTCTGCCGCTGCCACAGCCGCTGCATCTGCCTCTGCTGCGGGGGTTGGGTGGGTTGCCAGCCACTTTTTGCATTAATTGCTTTATCGATTTTGTGCAGCATTTTCAACCTCTTTTTCTGCATGCTCGACGTCGTCGTCGTCGCTGTTGTTTTTAGCACAAGGACGTGGAATAAATATGAAAAGCAACAGAGAGCAGTCAAATGGAAAAAATCCTCTGTTTGTTATTGTGAATGAAATGTGGCAACAGAAACGACAACGACTACGACGACAGCAGCAACGGCAACAACAGCAACAACAACAACTATCTGAGAAAGTACATTCCCTCAATGACGGCTTTTTGAAAAGCAACGCAAACGCTTTCAGCGCCACCTGCCTGCATTTTATGAAGGCTCAAAACAAAACAAAGCCCAAAATGTAGGACACCACGTCCCCTGACCGTACCAAAACACCCCCCCAGCCACCCCCTCTCACTTTCCCGCCCTGAAGCCATCGCCAGCAACGTCAGCAGAACAGCGACAGAGTTGCCAAATGCATGCATGCAAAATGAGCGCAGCTCGAATGTGCAGGCAGCAAATAGACCAATGAGCGAAGGAGAAAAGAGGAGATGGTGGAGGAGAGAAAGCAAAGCGCACTGGAAGCGACAACAAAACGCCCGCCAGGCGGCGCCCTAGTGAATGTGGAAAAAAAGTTGCAGTAAAATTGTGCACAATCCTAAAAAATGAGGTCAACTATTTTTGCTCTATGTGAGTGCGCGAGTGTGGGTGTGTGTGTGTTTGAGAGTGAGAGAGTGAGAGAGAGAGAGGTAGAGCGGGACGATTACTGTTAACCGGGGCTGCGTTTGTTTCAATAGCGTGCTTAGTTAGTAGGTTATGTTTATGTAAATTTGCATAATTGCATGTACATAAAGCATATTTACTTTCCAGCACAGCACGTACATAAGATGCACATGCACACATATATACATATACACACATATATGTTAAATATATATATATATGCATAGAAGCACACTCGTCAAGCTCTTTAAAATGTTCGCCACTTTAAAGCTTTGCCTGTGAAATGTGGCAACAGCGCCGCCAGCCAATGCATTGAATAAAACGTGTTAAGAACACGGTAAATAGGTCAATGAGTAAAAAAGCAACGCTTGCGGCTTTCAATACCTTTTGAATATCGAAATGTAGCAACAATGCGAAAAAAAGTGAATTGAAAGTAAAACATAATGACGTTTCAATGTAGAAAAGATTTTTTTGCCATTAATAAATACGTTGGATGTACATAAGTCTACTTGATAAATGTCTAAATGTTATTATCTATTCCATAAGTTCTATTTTGTATTCCATACGACTGTTAAGTATTCTTAGACTATACAACATTTAATAATTACTTTCATTTAGAAATAAATTGTTTTATTTATTAATAATTTAATATGTTTTATTTAAGGTTATTCCATAATTATTAAGAAGACATTCTTCGCTCCTATGAATATTTAAGTTTTTTTTTTTTTTAGATTTAATTCTTTTTCACATAACTCTCTATACTTTTCACCAAACAATACATTCACGATTTAGCTTACTCCATTTGCAACATTCTTATAGCATTGCCTGGTTATATTTATTCAGAGTTCACTGTACAATTAGTTTTAGCACGTTTCCAATAGTCACGTAACGCGACCAGACAATAAACACAATCAGCTTGCCGATTGTATTTGCGAAAACATATCAGAAACACGGCTAGCACAACAATGAGCAATGAACAATGCACAAGAATACCAATAACAACAACAACAACAACAATAAGAACAAGAAATGCCCAGTACAATTCGGAGTTTAGTTAAAAGAAATTCGCAAAGAGCCTTAAATAAATAAAAAGTCCTTCTCATTTACTGAGTAGGTAGATAAAGAGAGCTAGAAGAAGAAGAATAGCGAATCAAAAGGCTAGCGACGGTAACAAAGACAAAATCTCGAATCGAATAGAAGAGCTGGCAGCTATGTGCGACGTTGCCAATTTTCACAGCTATACTTCTAAGCAGAAGCGTGAGCGTGAGAGAGCCCTAGAAGTGAGCTGGGGAATTGGGGAGGTTTATGTCATTTGCACACACACACACACACACACACAGTGACACGTTACATAGAGCACAAACGACCGATAAAAACAGGAAGAGAAGAATAAAACAAAATAGAAATTGAAACATCCTTCCTGGCAAAGGATTTCTGCTTTTTGTGCGCCCTACCAGGGTTGGCTAAACTATTTGCTTTCGAAATTGATATGGGAAAAACTATGCACAATATGACAGGGTGTGGTGGGGTGTGCTGTGCGGGTGACTTGACATGCAACAATTTTTGGTGTGTATGAAAAGAACCTGCCACAAGGGTTGCCAGGCGGACGGACAGACGGGAGGACGGGCGCATGGACGTAAAAACCTGAATAATAATAACACCCATGAAGGAGAAATTCAGCTTAGCCCAAGAGGGTTGCCAGAGGTTGTCTGGCTCTGTGTGTGTGTGAGCTCATATATACATTTATGTGTGTGTGTGTGTGTGTTTATTTGGGTGGCAAGGGTGCGACAGGCATTTCCGGGTAACTGGCAATGGTAGCTGGTAATAAAATCTGTCTAACGCTGTTGGACGCCAGCCAGTTGGCCGAGTGGGCGGCAGATGGGGGAGAGGCGTGCCGTCGCGCACTTGAAACTGTTGGCAACAACAAAAGTCGTTGGATACGTTGCTGGAATACCAGAGTGACGAGAAAAAAGGGCGGATAAAATATGGTTAAAATGTAAATTGAAAAAATTTGTTGTCTGTGCGAGATGAAAAAGAAAGAAAAGTAAGAAATAATAGCAAAAAAAAAAAACTCACTAAAATTTATGTGCAGTGAACAGCGATAAAGTACGAAACTTGAGATATATAAAAGAAAAACCTAAGCACAGTAGGTTGAGAAAGGCGATTAAATTGCATAA